GCTGAGACATTAAAAAGTGTCCTGTCAGTAACTGATCAGGTTATTTTTGACCCAGTGTTTCTTTTGGTTCTGAAAAAGGGGTGTTATATAACCCAATGAGCCAGTGATGTGGAATGCTTTTTTCTTCTCTTTTTTTTTGACCTTTAACCAGGAATGCTTATCATTTATACATGAAGCAGCTCTCTTTCCTTTGGACAAGAAGGCAGCAGCCTTTGTTGAACTAGGCACCTATGGTCTGCAGACCAATTTACTTTTCAGCTTAATGAATCAGGCTCTGCCTGCACTTAAGTTGCTTGCTTTTGCCACTATTTAGCAACCTAATATCTGCCTTAAGTAATTACATGTTAGGTAGTTGAGATGCAGTTCAGCCAAAGGCATATAACCTGTATGTGAGAGGGGGATGGAAAGGACCCAAATGAGATTTGCCTCAAGCTACCATGGCAGCTCGCATAGACAGAGATGAATTTTAAGCAGAAGAAAGCCAAAGTGATTTTGTTTAACCAACTATTTTTCTCACTTTTAAATAAGCTGCCCTATAATGTCGCAATTTGTTTTAGTTTTCCTGAATGAAAATTCTTAATTTTTAACTGCCAAACAGGAAATTTTATGGAGGGCATTTCCAGGTTAAAAAAGCCCCAGATCTGACTGTTTCTAACACCTTTTAACCACCAGGAGTTCAGTCCTAAGAAAAAAATTAATATTATAATTTTATGGTCCGCATCATTATCCTGCTTCCTTGTGATCCTAGCACTACTTTTACTAATCAGCTGGGTTAAAGGCTGTAGAAACAAAGCATTGAGGGGAAAAAAAAAACCCTTAGATTGCTTAACACAAGTTCATTTGGCTGGACATTGCTTCTTTTTACTAAGGTCCTGGTTTCTTCAATGCTTATTTAGCCCTGTTTTATTTAACAAGAGAACTTCTTCAATACATGTTGTATATCACTACTTTAACAGGATATCTATTCTGTGTATTGTCTTTTAACTTAAAAAAGCATTTGGATTGTCCAGTTTGGGGAAGGCTGTAAAATAAGGACAGGATATACCCTTTGGTTGGGTTTATTTCTGAGGTTGTTGGGGTTTCAGCAAGGGATTGATATATTCAATTTCAAGGTTACTTGTGTCAAGTTAGTGAAAAAAAGGGACATCTCCTTTTGATTTTCTTCCCTTTTTATTTTTATGCACTTAGTGCATATGAAATGCAGCCATGTTCTGCTTGAGAGATGAAAAGCTGTCCTCAGCGAGTGTGTCATAGTTGAGTCAGCTGGGCCCCCTGCTGCACTCTGCTTTTGTTGGTTTTGAAAAGGTCTAAGTCTTAAAGTAGCTAGTTCTGTTAAATATTAGTAACCTAGTAGGGTGAATTTTGATTGCTAAAGTTGACTGAAGATGTATTGTCTGCTGTGTGTGTTGGGGCTGGTAAATAGCTGGTTGCTGGAGCAACCGCCTAAAAAGGGAGAGGGTCCTTGGTACCACATAAATTCTTTGAAGAAAACTTGATCATAGCAAATTCTACCATTAGTCTTCGAAGAAGGATAAAAGAGGAGGAAGAGTTTCAGACAGCTTTTTCCTTTTGTAAACTCGCTGCTTTATAGGGGAAAAAATAGCTAGGAATAGTCTGTCTCATATGGAATGAAAAGCTGTGGATTAAGGCATTGCTTTAGTGAAACAGCTGCATGAATGTGAAACAGAAAGTTCTCCAGCTTCAGCCATTATGGGTTTGTTTGGTTAGGTCTAATTTTGGAAGTCATTATAGCAAAGGTAAATGACTTGCACAGGAGACTACTGTAAACAAAAGACTCGATACATTTACTTTGGCAGGAGCCTTGAGAAGACTCGGTCCTTTCACTGCCCCTTTCATGCAGCCTTCTGTAATACTCTCCCTGCCCGCCTCTGTGCAGGCAGCTCTCGTTTCCCTTCCTCCCTCCCTGACAGCTTCTTTCCCTTGACAGGTAGGATTTAAGGGGGAGCAGCACCTGCTGTTGAGTCGCTGGTGTGTAGCTGTGGAATACCTTTATATTTATAGGAGCTGTCCCTTAACTTCTACAGCCGCAGTGTTTGGCTCAAGTGAGGATCTGTTCACTCTCTTCCAGTCTAATACTGGGGTGAAATCTGTTGCAAATGCTTTACTTTTTAATTGTGGTTCCTCTTGGGTTGCTTTTATTTGCTTTTTATTTTATCCTTTAACGGCTTTATACTTACAAATTTTAAGAATACTGATGTATACCAGTGTTTTCTAGGTTTTCAGTGGAGAGTAAACCATGAGAATTATCATTTTATTTCCAGGTCTCTACCCATGTGATTCAGTCAAGCCTCTGCCCATTCCACACCTAATTCCTCACACTTGTGTGAGTGAGGAGGCAACTTCCATGATGACAGAAAGTGCCCATGCAGACCCTGACTCTTCCCTTTCACAGAGCTCCTCGTGAACATATCGTGTGGGTGTAACAGATTTCATTGACTCTAAAGCTGGGGGGATGTAGTAGAGGGGCAGAGTTGGTATCCTCTCCTTGCTGCACTCCCTTGGAGGCACCTCTTTTCTGCACTCCTGATGACTGTTGGGTGACCTAGGAGACTCCCCTCCACTGTGCTTGGCATGGGTGACTTCTGACTGCAGTCTTCCCAGGTTGTCAGGAAATGCTTTCATCCAAGGAACAACTATGCAAGTTTACCTTGGCTCCTAAACCAGATGGGGCATACTCTACTATTAATTCTTTTTCTTTTTTTTTTTTAACATACAAGTTCATTATGCTCCATCTTCAAATCACAAAAAACCTATTCCTGCTCATTCTCACATGCTTTATGCCTTGGGGGGGTAGCAATGCTGCTGGTCCTTCTGATATATAACTAGTAGCAAAGGAATCTATAAGGTCATTTTCTACTGCTGCTGTAGAAGAGAGGATTATCTTTTATCTCTGAAATTGCTCCCTTAGTGGTCATTAACTAGAAATACACTAATTGAGAAGCTGGTAGGAAAAGATTTTGTCTAATAGCAGTCCTGATCTCTAAAATGGAGTTTAACCACATAATAATTACGTGCTAGAATGCGTGACCAGCATGACTGATAGCAAGCCAACCATGGCAAGAGGTTTTATTTCAGATTAATTTCATCTCGTGCTATATATAAGAGATATCTGTAGGCTTTCAGGTCAGGCCACTGATTCTGAAGAAAACATTGTGGTGTTAGCTGCATGAACTCCTCTGAACTTCCTTCCACCTGCGGGGTCTTTGAATGTCAGGAGAAGCAAACAACAACTTTGTTTTATTGGTATTATTCTCTGATGTCTTGAAAAAACACAAAGGTAATACAAAAGTTCTCCTAATGAGAAAAATCCTGCTCCTCAACTTATTGGTGAAAAAATGCTGAAGATACACCTCTTGAAAACACTAGTGCAGTGTTTTGACTTTACACTAACAATTCATAAAGTAATAGACATTTTTTTCCTGAGGAGATAGTTTGATGTTGTAACTTCCTTCAGTACAAGCTAAACAGTGAGGTTTACAGTACCCCACATATCTGCACGGGAAACCCAAAATCAAGTGCAGAAGTTTTGACTATACATGCTTGTGTTGAATTTCCAGCAGGAGATTCAGGCTGGCACTTCGGAGGTGGAGGTGTGACTGTCAGTGGAATAGAAACTCTTGGAGGAACAAACACCAAGAGGTTGTGTGTGCTCTCTGGTCACAGAGTGCTGCTCCTTGCTCTGCATCTGTCAGGAAGCCAGCACCTACCTCAGAGTGGAAGAACCACCATCATTTACAGCAAAGACAAAGATCTAAGTGATATGTAAAATTGAAGACCTGTTTTTCACCCATGAATTTAATATCGTAACCTTCTTTTCATCTAACAGCAAGGCAGTATAACTGCATTTCCAGAAGCTTATGCTCATGGGCAATTAGTGTATCCCTGGTGTTTTATGATATGCTGTTCCTCTAAATCTCTGTCATGGAGGATGTTTTACTTCCTTTTTCCACATTGGAACGTGCTTTAGGTGTAACATTCTCAATGGAATTGACTGTGAAAATAGGCTTGGTTTATTTTAAAAAGGAGTTTTTGTCAACTCTACCCAGCAGATTTGTTGAATTTAGTAAACACTACTAAGTAGTAAGCCTAACAAGTTGCAAGCTTAAGTAAGTAACAAGCGTAAGGAGGCTGTTGGGGGAGTGAGGCTGTGTCCTTAAATTCTGAAAGTTTAATGAATCTAGTTTTGTTCTTCTAAGCTCCAAGCAATCTCTAACACTGTGAATTAATTATGGAAACAACCTCTTTTCACAAGTCAAACCTTAAAGTGCATTATGGTAGCAGAGACCAAAGCAGATGGGACCTGCCATGAGGGCTGAGAGGGAAGGGTTGTGTGGCTTGTGTTCAGGCTGACCATAATGTTCTTCATAAGGCCAGGGAAGACACAAAAAGGGATTCTTTAAGTCTGTGAAGTACAGCTGCAATAGGAGGAATTTGCTGCTTAAACAGTTTTCCAGAGTTTCTGTTACTGTAGCAACCTTATTCCTAGGAGAAACTTCTGGGAAGGACAGAAATGTTAAACTGTGGGCACTTGCCCTGTGCAGCAGGTGCAGTTTCCAGGGGTGAGCATGGGCTGGGCTGAGTCTGTTTCAGATGTACAGAGAATGGCTGCAGGCAGCCTCATCAGTAACTGCCCCAAGAACTTGGGATTTCTGCATAAGTACTTCATATCTCTTGGAAAGGTGCCAAGCAGAATTTAATTGCTTGTGGTGAAGTCTTTCTCTGTGGCTGGATAGGACACTGAATACTTTTGAACTTTAAAATTGCTGTGGGACAGCCTGTTATAGCATGGTTATATTTAATATACAGGCAGATAATGAAAGATACTTCTTAATCAGATGGAGTTCTTTGATGTGTGTTTTTTTTTGTTATATATACCACACTAAATGGGAGGAGAGGAAGGGAGTTCTTGTAATAACTTACACATTTGTTTTTCTGTTTAGTAAATTGACAGGTGTTTGGTTTTTCTTGTGTCTGCCCAGGGAACCAGTTCTTGTCTCCTGGAGAGTCTGTTGGAAAAGGTCTAACGCCAGAAGCTGCAAAAGATCTCGGTCTCCCCGAAGGGATTGCAGTGGCAGCATCTCTCATTGATGCACATGCTGGAGGACTAGGTACTCAGTCATATATTTACTCTTCTTGGAAACAGGAATGTATTGAATGAAGTTTAGAAAGCTGTTTTCTCACAGCCTGTTTTGTATCCAACAGTTTGCTCTGATGCTATTCTTTTGAAATAAAATAAAAACCCCTCACAATAACCACTAGTATTGAATATCTGTTTATGGAAAATGGCTACGACTGTTTATTTCTTTTCAGCTGCATTTTCAATTTATTTTTTCACTTCTGCTAGTTCTACTTTGAACTCCTGAACTGAAATACCATTGTGTTGGCATGCCAGCATGCTGAGAGTTTGCATCTTCTGTTGCTCAAAGTTTGGAGGCAGGCAAGAAAAACAAAACGTTGACATTCTAAGGGAGAAGTCTCGAGTTTGGGGCTTGTTCATAGTCTTCCTTCTTAGTTTTAGAAGTCAGTCACACTTTAAATAATGCAATAGAGACTCTTTAACATACATTTATGCTAGGACAATGTGAGATACATACCAAAACCACTGCTTTTGGTCTAGAATTTAGAATATGTAAATACTGTGTATCTAAAGTAGCAAGCAAGAGCAGAGGGGGAACTGACCACTGCACACCGTTACCCTTCTGTAGATTTGAACTTTTTATTCATAACTGGAGTAGGAGGCCTGATGCTGGGATTTTTTTTCTTTTCCAGCACAATATTCTGATCTCCCTGTTTGTAACTGGGGAAATACATTTGAAGTTCAACAGCTTCTTTTTCTGACTCTATTGTTTGGCCTTATCTAAATGCAGTCAATGATAAAGTGATTCAATGTAA